TAAATATCTTTTTGATGTCGTATTAAATATTTAAGCTTTATGCATGTTAATATAATAGTTTAGGTGTTACATATATAACATAATAAAACCTAAAGTTGATAAGAGAGGAAAGAAGCATTGATTGCAATAAATTTATTAGTTGCTTGCAGAATGTGGCTTGTGGGAAGGAAAAGAAAGAAGAAAATTCCAGCTTTTGGCAAAAAAAATTGGCTGCAGAATGTGGCTGTGACAAAGACTTATGAATTCTGTTGTATCATTGCGCACACCATTTGGCAGGCAGCGATATCTTCCAAGAAAAGGTGGTGGGATTTGGTGATGTTGTTCATCAAATAAACATTATGAGTTGGTCTATTTCATGCTGTTTCTGTCTCTTTTTATTTTTATAGTATAAAAATGCTAAGATAATTGAGTTAAATATCTGTATTTTTTTGTCTGTTTTATGAGAAGGGGTGGGAAGGACGAATTTGGAGAGTTTGGAAGATGGCAAGAGGAATCATTAGTGTATTTTTATTGGTTAATGTCTTAAATTTGTATAAATTGCAAGGAAGAACATGAATGAAAGAAGAGTTTATATGTGAAAAATATAAAATGAGAAAAAAATTTATGAAGATCAAACTGCTTGATCGAATACTGCAGGAATTAAATAAATTTGTGTCGGTTATATTAGACGTGAATCAGATGTAAATCTGATGATATTTTAGGTTTATCGTCAGATTTGAGTCTGATTTATGTCTGATTTTTTCGCGGATAAATCCGGCGTTGATAATGATAATTCCGTTTAGTTTTACGTCAAAATATTTCGACGCAAATACACTGTATTACAGTTGGATTTGTTTAGGCCACACATGCATTGAATTTAGCATCTGAAAACATCAATTGATAATATAATCCATCGGAATACCGTCACATTTGAGGCGGAAAATATCAAAAAACGGTGGAATATTAGTGCCTATTTAGCGTCGGGTTATTCGACACAAAGCCGATGCAAATCAGAAGGAAACGTGCAACACGGAAAAAAATAAAAGAGCAATTACATTATGTGTCAAAAAAGAAGGGGTGGCAATAGCAGGTGCAAGAGCACGGGCCATAAGTGGGGTGACAGTAGTGGGTGTGGTAGCAAGTGTCACAGAAGGTGTGGCTGAGCAAGCGAACATTGGTGGAAGCATTAGAAGAAGTAGATGACCTTCTCATGTTATGGTAGGTGGTATTTAGCGTCCCCATAATATGGGTTCTTTGAGGTGGCTAACCTCCAGCACCATTTGTGACCAAGCAAACAAAGGACTGACATTAATAAGATTACTATTGACAGAAAAATAAATCATAAGAAAAAATAAACGGTGCAATAAAGGAAATACACAAGTAGCAGATAGAGTAAACAACCATGCCTCAATACAACAAAAGTAAAAGATAAAAAAGTAGCAACAGTAACCACTAATCTAAAATTACCTACCTTTGTTATTAAGTTTCACTAGAAGAAGTGGTCGTTAAAGATGAACCTAAATTTTTTTCTTCTATCCCCTCATCATCCTCATCCAAACAATGAGGAGCCTCTTCAAAAATCCCTGTGATATCCTCTAGTACAAACACTTCATCGTTTTTGCTGCCCTCAATGCAAAAATTTGGCATACCTTCCTCTTGGTGAATTGGCTCAACAATACTATGCAACTCAATAGGTTTTCTTGATTTATTATTCATAACAGAAATGCAATTAACTTTACCCTCTGAATGATAATAGGCTGTTATGATGCCACCTGCATGAATTCCTTAACACCATTCAAGAACTCATATGTGAGTCCTTTTAGTCATGGATATAACATTTTATACATCCAAGCTCTCAAATTATGAATATTCATCTGCAACATATATGTAGCTTTACAGATCAGTGCAACTATTAAGAAAAAAAAATAGTAAATACTGATCAATATTTACAGTAAATATTATTTGTTCAAACAGATCTAGGGATCACCCAGGGCTCGTCAGTTGGTCAATGTGCATTCTACAAATAACATCCCTATCGATATCACTGTCACTTTGAACAATAGAACTGATGCATTACTCCACTATTTCAACCAACTAACTTGAATTCTACTAATAACATTCCCAACTATATCAACGTCACATTGAATAATAGACCTGTTGCATTACTCCACTAGTTCAACCAACCAACTTGAATTCTGCTAATAACATCCCCATCTAACACCTAAACTTGTGTACATCATACCTAACACTCAATACTTATGTATATAAATATCTAGATTCCCATACATATCACTCAATACTTATGTATATACATAGCTGACACCTATAACTCATTGCATAAGGAGATTTGCATACATACCACTGAAATCTGATATATATACATTCCTAACACATAAGCTTCAAATCATACATACATACCAAGATATCTAAAATGGTTACTACTTTTAAAGATATTTAACTTTAGTAAACAAATCTGTGCAGGAGAAACGACATATCTAAAATGTTCACTAGTTTTAAAGTTTTGATCATTCATTGACACATAAATGGGACTTTTACACAGATATCATCCAAAACTTTCTTATTTATCTATCTCACACATAAAATTTTATAATTACAAACATCATACGAAAAATAACACTCATTATCATCATTTAATTGTCAATACTGTTTTTTCATCCATAGGTAAAGTGATATGTGTGTAAGAATAAAATTTTAGGTGTGAGATAAGTAAATCCATAAGAATTGGGTGCTATGTATGTAGTTTTCCCTAAAAATATCATCATTGAAAAAAACATACCTTCCTCAATAACTTCTAGTAGGAGAGAGATATGAGAGTTTCAATGGTCTCTACAAATCGTGATCATGTCGTTGCCTTCCCAGCTAACTCTAATGGTGACTGTAATGCGAAGGTTCATTTACGGGTGAGGGTTTTGAGAGATATTAGGTGGAGGGAGATAAAGCGAGGGTTTTGTTGGAGATGAGCAAAACTGGGAGAGGGGGAGGTCGTAAGCGAAAGTTTCGGGAATAGAGGAGAAGAAATGAGGTTCGAGGAGCGAGAAATAAATTTAAGGACATTGGTGTCAGATTTCCGTCAGATTTTTATTGGATTATTTCGATGCAAATATCTAACCATAGAGTTTGCTACGGAATTCGCGTCGGACATTATTCGACGCAATTAAGTACGTGATTGCATCAAATTTTTCGACGCATAGTTTGTTGCAATCCGATGCCTCAGTTCGATGTTTTGAATTCAACATTTGCTTCAAATTGCTCGCCACAAATCAGACGTAAAATCTGACGCAAATATCAGAACTCAGTTTTCTACGTAAATCAGCCAAAAATTTGACACTAATATTTGTTTCATAAAATTCCGACGCAACTATCAGATGCCAAATTTTACATCTTCTGCAGTGTAATTCTTTATATACATGATGTTATAGAAACTCACTTTTTTTTTTTTTTACAATTAAAGAAGATGGAATTGCAAAGGTAAGACCATTTGCTTTGTCTCTTGTGCCTATGATAGAATATATAGATGGTGATAAATGTAATTATGTGATAGCAGTCGAATGATATTGGTTATATAATGATACTCAAGGGGCATAATTGAGCAATAATAATCAAAAGAACATGGTTGGATAATGACAATCAGAAGACAGTGTTAAAAGTATAATGGCTAGAAAACATTGTTCTGATTTTTAACTATTTTAGTAGTAATTAATCTTCTTTATTGATTATCAAGCAGAACTTTAGAGTCTTTGAGATATCTAAGAACTCCTTAGATTAAAGTCTGATATTTTCTTATAAAGCATAGGTTCTCATTTAAAGTTTTTATGAGGAGCATTTTCGTCATTTTAGCCATACATAACCCGACAACACTCGGTTAGATAATGCATTATATCCTTCAATTACAAATCAATTTTTAATATTTAAGTATGACTTTAAACTTAAATGATTTTGAGTTTATCTTACTAAGATTTCAGTTTGACCATAATTCTGTTAAATTCAATGATTATTTGACCCTTTAATTAATATTATGAAGTCCTTAACCACATCTCAAATTCTTGAATTAGGCTTATATGAATTTGGGTAGTGTCACTTTGAGTGTCAATCATTTTATCTTCTTCAATTGCTTAGTTTGAATGCATGTTAGCTTAAAAAAAGTTTAGATGGTCGTAGCTACATTTACCTTTCGATGTTCTCAAATAAACTAACTCATGATTGATTAAATGAATATTTTAATGATTTATCATTTGCCTCCCTATTTACAGATACATAAAATTTTATCCTCTAAAAATATGTTAAGTCTTAAAAAAAAAATATGTTGAAAAATTATACTTTTAATAAAAAATTATGAAGTGCAACTACTTTCTATACATTAGCATAGATCTTGTTTTGGGTTCATAGCCAGATGAATTCATCATATTTGTAAATGCACCCTTTTTTAGATTAGTTTATTAATTTATATTAAAATTTATTAAAAAATATTATTACAACTTTCTCTTTTTTAGCAAATTTTCTTGATTAAAGCTTCACTAGAATTTGAAGGCATTAAATTTTAGTTCTAAATATCAAAAGAAGACGAAAAGACCCCTTAAATGTTAGATATGCAAATACATAAGAATTGTGGATATGAATGTAAAAGCCCCAATTTCTTAATGCAAAAGAAATCAACTTTCCATAGCCATGTAGAAGAAGCACATCAATTATTCAAGGTCTTTTAAATAGCACCAACTAAAAAGCCATTCAATTAAATTAATCCCCACGACTAAAGCATTCTCCTTAGGCCCATTGGATGGCCTTCGAATAAAAAATATTTTAAGAAATAATACAATTCGATTTATTTTTTTATTTAAATAGATATAAATACATATATATATATATATATATA